TATCCACTTGCTTTCTCCAAAAATTAGAACTACAAGTATTTTTAAAGAAGCTTTTGGCCTGTTTCTTTATGGTAATTGAGAGTAACAATAATTCAGAAGTCTCATGAACAGAACATCTTTTAATAAGCTGAGATTAGATTTATCCAGGAGACAAATTCATTGAAGCACTTGAAACCTCACCAGTTTGGGATTCAGTTTCTCATTTAGTATTGAAATTGCCAAAGTCCGGGAGATTCTTCTTAATCAAAGTGATGATAACATCAATCTGTTTTATAATTTAATACAGCTAGCACAGAGTAGTGTGTAAATCTGTGTGTGTATATATACATTTGTAATCACAATATTTTACCTTGACGAAACATAAAAAGGGCACTCTGAATATGATACATGAATCCTCAAAATTTTATCTTTAATTAGCAGTCAAAAATTTTTATCCTGAACACCTCTCTTTAAAAATTGTGATGCAACATCTGCAGGCTCCAATAAAGCGATTGCTTCATTCACTTGGCTTTCTGTCTGGCTGTAAATTGCTGAGTTTAAAGGAGAAGTTCAGAGCATATTGGCAGGCTTAAAAAAGGAGTTCTTGAACTGTTAGGAAACGCAGAATATAGTTTTATCCTACCAAATTTACTTCTTGTTAAATTTTAACACGAATACTCCATAAACTATCATTTCCCCATGGTTTGGGACAGGGACAAAGAGCTGATAATTCTGTTGACAGTGTCTATGTACTTCTAAAAGCTACATCTGCTGACTTTTTAGCCATGGTAATGACAAGAGGGATGCAGGACAGGGGAAGTCTTGTTTGAGCAGCTGTTGGGCTGATCTCAGCGGACAGCTTTCCTGTTATTTATGGAAACAGCAAGCAGGCACCACATATTTACCCTGATTCCCTGGAAATAGGTTTGCCTCAAATGACTTGGGGTGAGAGGAAATGGGGAGGAAAGAACTAGCATCTTTCTTGCCACCTGCTCAGTTTTCACATCCTTCCTTATGTCCTTTTCCTTAGCAAAGAATACCAAGATGCCTTAAAGATGTTGCATGTTTCCTAGGAAAGCAGGTATATTTCTATAAATTTTTTTAGCATACTTAGGAGTAAACACCAGTTTTTAAAGAGGACTTTTCTTCCTGCTTTTAAATTAATTCCTCTTCCATTTTAATCTCATGTGACACCTACCAGTATCGCCATTTTGAAGAGCTATTTGGTAAAAAGAACTACCGCTATCTACAGTCTATCTGACATTTTGTTCAGGCACTGCTTTATGGCAGGGGATCTATAAGGCTACTCCGTGCAGTTTCATGAAATTCAAAAGACAGTCATCAGCAGATAGTTCTGACTCCTATTAAGTCAAAGTACCATTTGAGTCACTTTTTTTCTCTTTACCTTCTTTCCTAAAATCTTAACAGGGTTGGGGATCTACAGTCAGTCAATGTTCAGGAAAAATAAGTATTGTAGTATAGTGTAAAGTTGGTTATTGTAAGTTTTATAACCACTCCAATTGATCGTGCTACCCTAATATAAAGGTAGACTGCAGCTGCAGCTGTCAAGGGCCCATTACTGCCATTGCTGATTTGCCAGAAAAATGCCTGGACGGGCCCCACTTCAAGAATGAATTTTAAGAAAATTTAAACTGTATTCTAAAATAATAATAAGCATGTGTCATTTCAGACTATTCCTGAAATATGTATTTAACAATGTATAGTGAAAATAAAAAACTGAATTAGTTAGGGAACAAACCTAAGATGCTCTAACAAATGACCCAAAACACACACTGGCTGGAACAAGATCCGAGTTCCTCTCCGCACACACCGAGAAGTGGCCGGCCGGCCAGCCCGGTGCCAGGTGAGCTCGGGCCCCGCCGGCGGCTCCTGGCTGTTGCGCCCACGGTGCTGCGGTTCTCGCCGCCACACCACGTCTGCCTCCCGACCAGGGGGAGAGGAGAAGGGCGGCGGGACAGAGCCCGCTCCCCCCCAGGGACTGACCCGTCAGGCCGCGTCCATCACTTTAGTCAGAACCCAGCCGCGTCCAGTTCACGGGACACTTGGAAATGCAGTCGGTGGCCGACGCCCGGCTGCCCCTCGAGAGTTCTGTCACTGAGGAGGAAAGGGGCCGCGTCCTGGTGCCGGTGTCGGCGAGCAGGGCGGTTTCCGGGGAGCTCCCCGGCCTGCAGACGGGGCCTTCTCACCGTGTCCGGGCGTGGTGGAGAGAAAGCTTGCAGGTTCTCTGCTCTCCTCCTAGGAAGCCGCTGATCTGTTGGACCAGAGCCCAGTCCTATGACTGCGTTTGACCTTAATTACCTCCGTAAAGGCCCCATCTCCAGAGACAGTCACACTGGGGGGTGGGCTTCAACATGTGAATTTTGGGGAGATCCATTCAGTCCATAATAGTGCACCAATTAGGATTCTCTGTCGAACTGACCTGTTCAGGGGTTAGACCTAGAATCTTGGTTTCGTTTGCATCCTGGCATATGGAATTACACAGCTACCGGTTATACAGACCTGTAATAAATAATTCAATTTACTGTATCTCCAGATCACCCTGTGTTCTAGATTGGAAGAAACTGGAAGTCCTACATTACATATATGTGTCAGTGGTAGTAAAAAGTATATGTCAAATTTTATATTTTGAGGAAATTTATGGTGTCTTCGGTGCAAATCTAAGTAAAAGTTTTTACTTTGTTATTTTTCAGAAATGCCCATCATGCAGCTCAGTTTTTTTCCTCATGAACATTCAGCTTTCCCATTATTTCAATCTCGTGGATAAAAACAGAATGCAAACAGTTTTGTAAAGCTTATCAGCAGAGATTTTAAGAAATTATTGTTTTAAGATACCTATTAGAGTAGACATCAGAATGATTTTTAAAAATAAAATAGATTTCAAGGGTACCTACAGAGTAAGGAATTGCTTTTGTTGACACTTAGCACTCGTTATGCTCAATCACTTCAATCTCCATGCAGAGAAACTGCTTTTTGAACTCTCAAATTCAGTTAGCGTGCAGCTTCCACAGAGGCACTGTAAATCCTGCCGTGCCTCATTCTGCAGAGCCGGACACACTCCTTGTGTGGGACTGAGAGCCGGCCAGGACAGCTGGGATCTGTAGGGCGGTGCCCTGGGGAGCAGGGGCTACACAGAATTCCTCAGAGAACTACAGAGGGAGCCTCCCGAGCAGTCAGCCAAACGCTGGAGTAGGGCACCAGTCAGACCGGAAAATCTCACAACTCCTGGGGCATGAGGTGGGGTGTACAGAAGGGTCTTGGCTCACTGGGCTGGAGGGGAGTAATTAGCCCTAGATTGAACATCATTCCAGTCCCACCTAACACAACTTAAAAGCAAACCCAGAGAGATCAATTCCCAAGTTAACTGAGTCCTACAACAAATAAAGAATATTTATAGAAATACAAAAATATCCAACATCCAGTAAATTCAAAAAGAATTATCAGGCATGCAAAATACCAGAGAAGTAAAACCCATAATATGGAGAAAAATTAATTCAAACCAACCCAGAACTGATACAGATGTTAGAATTAACAGACAAGACCATTGAAGTTGTTATAAAATTGACATTGATACAAATTAATGTAACATAAACTAAAATTATTATAACTTGTATTTCATATGTTCAGAAGTTAAGTAGAGACATGGAGGATCTTAAAAGACCCAAATTGAACTGCTGGAGATGAAAACTACAATATGCGAGATGTACACTGAAGAGTATTAACAGCAAATGGGACAATGAACGAGGCAAGCTTAGTGGACTTGAAGACAGTGCCGGGAGCGCCACCCAGAGCGAGACGCAGAGGCACCCGAGGCAGTGATACAGGAGCTCCCGGGGCCCATGCGCGCATGACTGCAGTCCCGACGGACAGAAGCGTGGGGTACAACAGAAATATCTGAAGAAATAATGGCCTCAAATTTCTGAACTTGATGATATTTATAAACACACAAATCTAAAAAGTTCAACTAACCCTAAGCACGAGAAGTATGAAAGCTCTGCCAGTGCATATTATAATCACATGGCTAAGACCAGTGCTAAATCTTAACAAGCTGGAGGAAAAAAGACACACACCAAGGAACAACAATAAGATAGTTTTCTTGTTGCAAACAATGGGAACAAGAAGCCAGGTGGAGCAACATTTCAGTACTAAAAGAAAAATAATTGTCAGCCTGTATCCAGCAAAAACACTGCTCGAATCAAAGGCCAATGGCAGAGTTTCTCAGAAAGCTGCCAGAACCTGTAGACCTGCACTGCAAGAAACTGCTTATAAATCTGCACAGAAGAAGATGGTGACTATGTAGGTGAACACGTATTTTCTCTTATCATCTCTGTATCTCTATATCAAGAAAATTATATAAAGGTAATTGATTGTTTAAACGAATATAATGATGAACTGCACAGATCATAACATATGTGAAAGTAAGACCTACAACGGCAGCAGCGTGGAGGCCAAGAAGGGAGGAGGATGGTACTGCGATGTTCTGTGCGGGGCGGCGCCTCCTGAGGGGGGACAGAGCAGCCCCGAGGCAACACCGCAGTGACAAAAGGGAGGCACGTCAAATAAGCCAATGAAGCATATCAGACAGAATATAAAAATATACTCAATCCAAGAAAAAAGCAGAGGAAGAGGAACACAAAGTATTAAACAAATAGAAAATAGCAAGATCAGAGGCTTAGACTTAAGCATATCAATAATCACATAAATGCTCTCAATACCTCCATTAAAAGGCCGCCTGAAACACTGCAGAAAAGGCACGTCACGTGCCAGCTGCCTGAGGTACACACGCCTGAGACACAGACCCTGGGTGGTCAGAGGGACAGGAGGCCTTGCGTTTCCTCCTCTGCAGTAGGAAGGGGGAGCCACCACCAATCCTATCAAAAAGTGAAGAGCTGAACAAACCGAAAAAGCACTCACTCTTTTCGGATCTGTAAGAGAGGTGAGGACACAGGGCAAGTAGCTGCCCCCCAATCAGAGTGGGGGGTTCAAATGCAGTGCGTCGCGGCTACCAGAGCAGAGAGACTTCAGAAACCACCTCGGGAACCAGGGCCCAGGGAGGAAGACCTGAACTGTCGTGCGGCCCATTCCCGGGGCACCCAGGGGTGACTGAGAATCGGGACTCTAGGGGACCCAGCCATGGAGGGACCCCCTTCTGTGGGACTCGCTCCCGTGAGCTCCGCAAGGCTTCCACAGCAAACATGGGAGGAGACATCCCCACGATGTCTGGCAGAGGGAGGGAAAAGGAGCCACTGCGCTATTTGCCGCAACACAGTTCTTAGCAGAGTCGGCGCTCGGGAGAAACGAGTCCGCCGGAGCGTGACTGCTGCTGTATTGCCGGGTCCACCGGGCCCGAGGGAAGAACGTACGCACCCCAGCCGTCCTCTCCCGTGTGAGGAGGGCTGGGGGGGCAGAGGGAACACCCGAGAAACGCCTGGGAAGTTGAGTCTGGAGGCACTGGCCCTCCTAGAACAGCCGGAGTCCAAGACAATGGGGCGCCTCCCTCCCCAGCCGCACCACCGCGCGACTGACGTCCCTTCACCTGCCGCATGTCCACCTACCAAGAACACCGCGAGGCCACCGAAAGGCAAAAGCACGATTCGGAGACGCAGCATGACGTGGCAGGGATGTGGGAAAACACGTCAGGCAGAATTTGAAATAACTGTGACCACTGTGCCCTGGATAAGTGGACATCATGCAGAAACAGACGGACAACATAAGCAGAGACGGGAAGCCCGGGAGAGAGCCAAGGAGGAGCGCTGGGGAGAAGGGCGCGCGGCACCGACGGACCCCCCGAGGGCACCCAGCTGAGGAAGCAGTGTCTGCGCTTGAGGGCATCTCGGCAAAAAGAAAAAAATAAGAAACTGAGGAAAACAATATCCAAGGACTGTGGGACTGCAGCAGGCATGACAGACACATAATGGGGTCACCAGAGGAGGAGAAAGCAAGGGACAGAAGAAATCCTTGACACAGTGGTAACGGAGACTTTCCCAAAATTCACGTCAGACGCCGATCCACACGCCAGGAAACTCGAAAACCGAACAGGGTGAATGCCAAGTGACTATAGCCAGGCGTGCATCACCCTCGATGTACAGAAGAGCAGAGGCGAGGAGGGAGCGCGGAAAGTCAGAGGCGAGCGCCTCAGCTCTGGAGGGGCAGACAAGGGCCAGAGCCCCTGCGGAGCCCCCCTCGGAGCCGTGCACGCAGAGGGGGGAGTGGAAGACCTCGGGCGTAAGGAGAAAGGGACACAGCGACCGGGAATTCTGCACCCTGTGAAATCATCCTCCAAAAGTGAAGGAGAAATGGACTTTCTCAGGCAAACAAAAAAGGGAATTCGTTGCCATTAGGCCAGCCTTGCAATATGTCAGAAAGAAGTTCTTCAGAGAGAAGGAATACATGAATGTAAAATAAAAACCTTATTTTTCTTACTCTAAACTGATCTAACAGATAAGTTTTCAAAGTAATGGCAACAGTGTACTCAAGTGTGGGTGCTTGTGTGTATTTCTAATATATACTTACATGTGCTATCATGTAAGTGACATGAGTGACAGGAATGATACAGCAACTAACACAAAGGTCCTAGGAAAATCCCCCAAATATTAGGTATTTAAATAGATACTTTTCAGAAGCCCATGAGTTCAAAGTAGAAATTGAAAGAGAAAAATTAGAAAGTACATAAATTTAAGGGGGAAATAATACCAATGCTATACAAACTTTTCCAGAAAATGAAAAAGAGGGAATACTTCCTCATTCATTATGTGGGGCCAGCAGATAACAAAACCAGCAGGGGAAAAAAACATGACAAAGAAAACTATAGACCAATATCCATCATAAACATTGTGCAAAAATTAGAAACAATTTTAGCAAATCAAATCCAAATAAAGGATAATATATAATGACCAAGTATGGTTCATCCCAGGAATGAAATGTTGACTAACATCAAACCTTAGTTTATCATATTAACAAAGGAAAAAAATCCCATATGATCATCTCAGTAGCTGCAGAAAAAGCATTTAACAAAATCCAACATGCATTCTTCATAAAAATTCTCAGCAAGAATAGTAAGGAACTTCCTCAAACTGATAATCAATGAAAAATCGACAGCTGACATACATAATGATGGAACACTGAACGCTCTGAGCCTGAGATTAGGAACAAGACAAAACGCCAGATCCCAGGGCTTCCATCCACATGCACAGAAGCTCGAACCGGCGCAGGCAGTCAGGAGAAAACGGCCACCAGACTGGAAAGTAGGAAGAAAAATGTCTTTATTCAGGGACAATGTGACCTTGCATGTAGACAGTCAGATGGACCTAAAAAAAGCTATTAGAATAAACATCAAAAAATCTGTTTTTAAAAATGTGACAGCCCTGTATGCTGAAAACTATAAAACATTGCTAAAAAATATTAAAGACCTAAATAAAAGGAGAAACAAACCTTCTTTGTGATTTGGAAGATTCACTGTCATTAAGAGGTCTGTTCTTCCTTACCTTATCTATATATAGATTCATTGCAATTCCAATAAAAATCCCAGTCAGCTTTCTTAAAAAACAGATTGACAAGCTGATTGTAAAATACATTACTTAGTTATTATTGAAATCAGATAGAATACTAGTCCTCACTAATAACATTTAGGCCTAAAGGCGTTGTAATAAGATGACTCAGGAGATCGCCTCACCCCTCTTTTTCTCTTCACTGTCCAGCCTACTCTCCTGGTTCTGTATTTTTTGTTTTTTATATATATATATATATGCTCCCTTAAGGTCAAGAGGGTTGGTCTGCTTCCATAGAAAGTGTTAAGACTGCAGTTACAAAGCACTGCAGAATATAAGGGATGCTCCCACCTATTTAAAGGCAGAGGACATAGTGCAGCAGCCGAGCCTCCCCTGCGCCGCAGCTCAGGGCCAGCTGTGAAGTGCGGTGCGATTCCTGCTACTCAGGAAGAAAGGCAAAGATTCGACTAAGGGGCCATGGAAAATGTATTAGGGTTAGAATTCAGCCCAACAGTGAAGCTGAAGGGGAAACCCAATTCGTTCAGAGACTGTCCCTTTACTGGTTTAAAATGAAATTTTAAATATTCAATATTAGATAAATTATAAGATTCATAAGCAAAAATAAATCTAATAAAATAACTTAGTTTAAGTATGAAGTGGACTTATCTGTTACATGTAAAACGACCCTGTAATTTAACTGTACATTTTCAACTCACATAATAATGCATCAGGCATGAAAATAATTTCAGGTGTCATTTCATTTCCAGGTCTGCATTACATTTACTGAATTTGGGAAAATGCAAAATATCTGTAACTTCCTTGTTGAAAAGCTAGACAGCTCTGTTGTCATCAGCCAGCCCCAGTTCTATCATACTCCAGGTTCTGTTGAGAACCTTCGGTAAGTTAAGTACATCTTTTAACTAAATTATCAATTAGGCAACAGTATGCAGTGCTGCAGTTCATTCCATGTCATACTGATAATCTCTGCATCTAACTCTTGAGACGGCAGGCCTGTCTTGTCGCTGTCGAGAATGCACAGCGCAAAGCTCAAGAAGTCTGTAACCTCGTCGGCCAAACGCTAGGAATGCCTTTATTGATCAAGGAGGAAGAGACCAGAGAATGGGAAGGCCACACAGACGAGCATCAGCCATCCGAACTCTCACACTCACTGACTGCACACCAGAAAGTCCAAAGTGCAACCATACATGCTGCTTCAAAAGTGTTTATGGCTTTTGAAGTAAAGGGGAAAGAGAAAAAAAAAAGGCATCTCTGAAATTCCAGCCAAAATGTACTGTATCTGTTTTTACACTTTTAGAATGTTTGCTTTGTCCTGAACATAAATATATTGTATATAAAATGTTTCTCCCCCCAAAAAATATGTTTACTTTCTATTTTAAGAACTTATGGGAAGTACTCTGGAAATAAATGTCATATGTGCACACTTGCATACTGACAATTCATACAAGTGCGTGTGTGAGTAATTTTTATATTTCCCCCACAGGAGGGAATGCCCAAACAGTCATTGGCATGATTCCTAACACTAACAGAGGATGAACTGATGAGCAACGCATAACTTCTGAGAAAAGGGTGATGGAGCTTACTAGGAAAATGTTTCGATGCAAAAATAAATGGCAGCACACAGGCATCCCTCTTCACCAGGGCTCTCTGATCATGCCAGACTCCCCACACTCTCCACGCGGACGGAATGCAAGCCATAGGAGCAGTTTAAAATTTCCTAGTGGAATCAATTTAAAAAAGTAAAAAGTAGGCAGCTGAAACTAATTTTAGTGTTTTACTTAACCTAGTATATCCAAAATATTATCATTTCAGCATATAATCAATATTTAAAAAACAGGTAATGGATAGTTTGCTTTTTGTACTAAGTCTTCCAAATCCAGTGTATATTTTATATTACATCACGTCTCAGTTCATACTCTAACTTTCATTAGAAATACTTGATCTGTGTTTGTTTCCTAAAATATAGTTGAAAAACTAAGATTCACATATCCACATTGTCCTAAACATGCTTTAAAAAATCTAGTAATTAAGTATCGGTTTTTAAATTAAAAATTTTTTTTATTTAAAATTCAGTTCCTTGGTTGGTCACATTTCAGATGTAGGCACACCTCAGAGAGATCACAGGATTTGTTCCAGACCACAACAATAAAGCAATTATCACCATGAAGGAATTTTTTGGTTGCCCAGAGTATATAGAATTTGTGTTTACACTACACTGTAGCCTATTAAGTGCAATGGCTTTATGTCTAAAACAATGTACACACCTTAATTCAGAAACACTATTGCTAAAAAATGCTAACCATATCTGAGCTTTCAGTAGGTTGTAATCACTTATCACAGATCAAACACAAATACAGTAATAGTGAAAAATAACTTGCTCTATGCAGGCTTGCCATAAACCTTCAATTTGTAAAAAACACAGTATCTGTAGGGCACAATAAAGTGGAGTGTGTTAACATAAAGTATGCCTGCACTCCCAGACAGCCAAGTCCCTTGTGGGTGGTCACCAGTGCCCCTCAGAATGAACAAATGCTGGCTTAGGGCTTCTATAATAACGGTGAAAAATCAGAAAGATTAAGCAGAAACATTTTTTGCTATGCCAAGTTTAAGGTTTATCAGGGTTTCATGTGCTCAATACAATTAGTAAGACAGTATGAGTGAACCAAAAACTGGAATTAGTTTCTCCACTAAGGTGAAAAGCCCAGGTGAGGAGAAAGTGCTAACGTGAATGATCCTGAGGCAATTCTGTGCTCCCTGAATCAAACAAACGTCCTCCTAATACCATGTTACTTACCGTCTATCACTTGTCCCCCTCCCCTTTCCCCTACAAACAGTTGTGGACAAAGATTCAAAAACAGGTATACTTCACACATGCATTAGCTTTTACATTGATCACACTAATTACGTCCTAATTACTTTTTATCTGTCTCTAAGCAAGACTATGAACTTCTCAAAAACAGGGTTATGTCTTACTAAACGTTGCTTTTCCCAGTATCTGGCTAGTAAAAGGCTAGGAAAAGGAGAAGCTAGCTGTCAAGTAGTTCGCCTTATTCTCAAATCAGGGAGCGGGAGAAGGGAAAGGTGACTGCGGAGCGCCGATTCCAGAGTGTATGTGCAAGCTGTTTTTTGTGCATTTTATCTCTAGTAAGCATGCTTTTCTCTCCAAAGCTTAGCTTTCTCAGAAAAGAAGTCTGTGGCTGTGCAACATACATTTTTTTGTCTGAACCAGTTTTTCTTGAATTGTCTTAGAGTCTACGTTCATTTTCAACTCACCAGTCAGCATTAAGTACATATGCATGCCCTGATTTCCTGTCACACGGGTGTCACCACGCCACCACGCTCCTCACAGAAGCCCTGACGCCCACTCAGGGAGAGCTGCTCTTGGAACTCTGACCGCAACCACTGTGAAACTCCATCTAACACCTTCAGTTAACTTACGACTTTCAATAAACAGATGCTCAAATTGAATGTTTCCACTAGCATTAATTTTATTTGTAAAGCCTATTTTAGAAAATCATGATTGTACTTGATAACAATAGTGAATTTGTACCTCATATAAAAAGTTTTTACTGCTTTTTCCTTTTACTGAGTCATATTTCCTTAATTCCATTTAAGAAGAACTAGTATAATCAATAGGTCAATGCAAACACAAGTAAGTAAATAGCATCAAAAGATTTTTTCTTAGTTTATGCTAAATTAATGATGAAAAGTCTAAGGTGGTACATTCTATATTGGAGTTGGGGGTAAAGTGTAATTAATTCAAAGTTGGCTGTCAAGCAAATAAGAGACAAAATGGTTTTTAATATACAAATGTTTCAGTATCTCAGTGCCTGCAAAGCAGGCATAACTTCATGTTCATTGTACCTAAAACGATAAAGATGCAGCAATACAGACTGAAAATGTGCCACCAAGAAACCAGTATGAGTGTGCCGCTGTGGAACCTTCAAAAAACTGATTTTCTATTTGAAGAATGATTATATTGGTTTCATTCTGTAGGAAATGTTGAGATTTCATAGTATCCCAAAATGTTATTACTACTGAGCATTACATTCATTTAAAATGCCGAGAATTATGAATGCCCTCCCCTCTCCCTGCCCGTGTCCCATTACAGATCGCACCATGAGCGCACCCTCTCTGGCCACAGTCAAGCAGCCCAGAAGCCTGCGCCTAAGTGCCCTGTTTGGAGTCTGCAGTATCCCAGGGCAGACAGCTTCTAGGTCTTGCCACAAGGAGGGGAATTATCCTGGAGAGGTTTTCATAACTAATTTGGAAAAACGTGGATTACATGTTTAAAAACTATTATCAAATCTTAGTAACTGTGATAGAAACTCAGGTTTGTTACCTACATCATTATTCTTTTATCATACTCTGTCCAAAATGTATCCCCCTTTCTGGCCAACCCTAAAATAATCTGGGACAAATATTGGAATAAATTTTGTTACCTAACTATTCCTTACAGTTTTTCTCACTCTGTTTTTGTAGAAAAATCTGATGGAAATGTCAAAAATAAAATATTTTTATTTTCAAGATTTGAAATGAACTTTTGGAAAATCTTAAATTTGTAGACTCCGTTAAACCATTCTGTTTACTAGATGTCTGTGGTCAGTTGTATGCCTATGCCAGTAATTATTTTCAGACCACTTTTCACTCCCAGGTGGTCTTGATGCTTCTAAATTTATGGCTTTACACTGTTATCTGAAAAATTACATAAACATGTATATGTAAGGATTCAGATACATAGATATGTAATTTACCAAAATAAAGGGATTACGCCTTTGGCGTACCTCCATTAGTACTAACACTATAGTTTAAAGAAAATGAATCTGTCTCCTCTTTTTAAATAGGAAGTAATTATCCCTCCTTTTAGCTCCCTAGTCTTTAAAGTATTTATGCAGGAATAACATGGACTTAATAAGTATACTGTTATAACTTAATAATATTAAGTAACTACTAGAAGCCTGGCAAATCTTCCAGATGGTCAGAAAAGACCTTTCCTAACTTCTTTATTTTATACACAGTATCTTAATTCAAAATATATTTGCAAAATATGTATGTGCAAATCAGGAATCAGATTAGGACTCAAAAGGCAAAAGTTGAAAGCAGACGTATCATATAATCGTATCCTACCTTGTCTTTAATAGCCAATTCTTCATGTGAGCCATCCATGCCTGCGCTCCCTGGTAGAAGCATATAAAGCCATCCCAACAGTCAGAAAGCCTTCAAAATAAATAAAATGCCTATTAGAACAACAAATGGCATTATACATATTAATATACAGGCAATGATGTGGCTTTAATATAGCTAGCTATCATCTCTAAGGAATTGTCTTTCCTCCAACCGCATTGATGTTATCTGTATAAAGGTAAGAAAAAATAGACCTGTCTCATGAAACAAAAGTATTGTAAACACAATAGTAGAGTCTTGGGGTAAAAAAATCCAGATATGGGAACCAAAAAACTGACCACATCCTCTTCCTCAGTCCTCACTGATATGACACAAGGTGTCCATTTGAAATAGCAAGAACAATTCTGATTTCTTTCCCCTTGGTAAGGATAAATACATACCAACAGAGCTGAAAGCAAGACTTTATGTATGCTGAAATAAACTGCCCTCTGATATATGGAGGCTGAATATTCCTTTTTCTGAATAATATGGTCTCTTTTCCAACTGTATAGGGAAATGACAAATGAAAGTCGACAAAGAACAGACTAATATTCCTTTTCCTACATCCTCAGTCTTGATTCATTTTTCTTAAGATAAAGCTACACTTTATTATCTAAGGTTACTATATGACCATTTGCCCTCCAAAATTGTTTTGAGCCCTCATTTGCCCACCAGTTGCTCGAGCTAGTTTTTTTTTGTTATCATTAATATACAATCACATGAGCAACATTGTGGTTACTAGATTCCCCCCATTATCAAGTCCCCACCATGTACCCCTTTACAGTCACTGTCCATCAGCTTAGTAAGATGCTGTAGAATCACTACTTGTCTCCTCTGTGCTGTACTGCCTTCCCCGTCCCCCCCCCCATACTGTGTGTGCTAATCGCAATGCCCCTTATTCCCCTTCTCCCTCCGCTCCCACCCACCCTCCCCAGTCCCTTTCCCTTTGGTACCTGTTAGTCCATTCTTGGGTTCTGTGATTCTGCTGCTGTTTTGTTCCTTCGGTTTTCCTTTGTTCTTATGCTCCACATGTGAGTGAAATCATTTGGTACTTGTCTTTCTCCGTTGCTCAAGCTAGTTTTTAAAAAGGGTTAAGAAGAGTCCTTATTTGTTCTTAAAGCTAATTTTGATTTCTAAGTACTCAAATCAGTCAAACAGTGTTGTTGAAAAGCATTGTATAATCTCAGTAAGTAGCTGTAGGGTTATAATTCACTAAACCACCCTCCCCGCCCCCATGAAAGAGGAAAGGAGGGAAGATTTAATTACAGTTTCCACTACAGAAGGAACAGAATGTATACGGCCCTTGGATAAGCTTTTTCCCAAATACTTGCACAATGTTTACATCATTGAGTTAGGGGATTTGTTACTAGACTTCACTTTTCAACATAAATGGTAAAATGTGCATATATTTAGATCTTTCATTAGCCAAAAGCCACTAAGTTGATACCATTATTTTCTGTCCCTGCAATCCCAAAATACTATCTTCAATGATGTGCAAAGGTCTCTCCTGAAACTTGGTAGCTATTTTTTCAAGGATGACATAAAGGACAGAATCACAATACAGAACAACCTTTTATATTCCCTGAAGACTGAGCTGGTAGAGCTGCCAGAAAGACAGAGCTGCAAACCACCAGCATGCCTTCTGCAGAATCTCCACGGCGGTAAGCCGTCCAAGATGCACCTAAAATACATCCGGCAAAAAGAAACATGCCTGGAGGTTGGCATGTTTCTCTTTCCCTGAAATGTAAAGATTTCGGCCCAGCGCACCCGCTATGGCTGCGCAAGTGTGTTTGTTCTAAGGCACACCAGGGGTCCCGGCTGCTGGAAGCACCACGTAAGAGCCCTGCGCTTGGACGCGCTCCCCGACTTCCCGATTCCAAGCCCAAGGACCCTAAGACCCCCGAACCCACGGCTGCAGCCCTAACGGCGCTGCCGAGCCCCGCAGCCCGCTGCAGCGCCAACAGAAAGCGGCCCCGAGGCTGAGGAAGCAACCATGGGCGGCCGCGCTGGTGTGCGGGCAGCCGCATCCCGACGCGAACGAGCACCCCGGGGCCGCGGACACCGGGAAGCCTGCGCGCTGAGCGGCCGACGGGGCCCCGGGACAGCGAGGGGGACGGGTGCAGAGGCACGGGAAGTGGCACCGCGGGACGCAGACGGGCTCCGGCGGCCGAGTGAACCAGCCAGACCATCCGCGCGGACACGCGGCTCCCGCCGCAGGGCCGCCCGCCTCCAGCCCGCAACGCCCGGGAAGCCAGAGCCAGGGCGCCGCCGCCGCCAGCGCGCGCACCGCCCCTGGAGGAGGAGGTGGGGCCCGATGAGGGGCGGGGCATACATGGGGGCGGAGCCCGGGAGGAGGGGCGGGGCAAGGGGAGGGGCGGGGACCGCCAGGGGCGAACAGGGCACCCCGCAGGGACCCCCCAAAACAGGGGGCCGCTCCGCGCCGGCCCCTCACGTCAGGGCAGTGGAGGCGGCGGCCGCCGTCCAGGCCGCGGTCCGCGGAGGCCGGGGCCCGTGCGTCCCCGGGCGCGGGTCTGAGGCGCCCAGAGCGGGGGTCGGTGCGGCGGCCCGGCCGGAGCCCACCCGGCCCGCGCTGCGCAGGCCTCCGCCTCGTCCCCGCCCCGCGCCCGCACTCCTGGGCCGACGCCCGCTCTGGGCGGATCCGGTCGTCCCGGCGCCCGTAGGGGGCGCGGCCGCGGAGCCCTGCCGTCCTGGCCGGCGACGGGGCCGGCGTCCGGCGTGGAGGTGGCCGACAGCGAGGGAGTCGGCCGGCCAGCTCCGGGCTGCACGGCGGCGGGACACCGGCAGCCCCGGGCCGGCGTCCGGGGCCTGCCCGCGGGAAGGGAGCGGGGCTGGGAGAGGCGCCGTCTCACCGCTGCGCAGCTTCGCGGCTTTCCCCGCGGGTGTGGGCGTCCGCCAGCGCCGGCGCCACGCAGGCGGCGTCAGGTGGGCCGTGGGCGCGTCCTGCCGGCCCGAACTCGCGGCTGAGCAGCCCGCGAGCGGGGAGCGCCCCCCACCGCCGTGGAGCCGCGGCGCGGGCTGCTCCTCGGGGCCCCGCCTCGTCCCTCCCGGGCGCCCGCCCGAAGGGGCTGAAGTGCCGCTCGGAGCACCGCGCCCTGTGCGTGCACTAATCGCGGCGGCCAGTGGATGGAGGACGCGCGTGCCGTGCAGAATAGCCCGGCCACCAGAGGGAAACGCTGCCAGGCGGACGCCGGGTGCTGCCGAGCCCGCAGACGTAACCCCGAAGGAGCGCCGGGCGGGCGGGGGCGGCGCAGACGCCCCGCTGGGAGGTGGGCAAGCTCTGGCCCCACCCCCGGCCTGGTGACGTGCCTAGTGGCCCTGTATGTGCAGTGAAACTGGCCAAGAGTGGATCTTAAGTGTTCTCACCACACCAACAAAAGTTACTTTGTGAAGGGGTGTGTGCATTAGACTGACTGTGGTGGTCATTTCACAACATGCCATCAAACCATCCGGTTGTACACCTTAAACTACAGTTTCTGTCAGCTGAACCTTCATAAAATTGGGGTGGGGAGATAGAGTTTAGACCAAAAAGTGATGAGAATGGACTAATCAACGCTTATTTAAATGAAACATTTTCTGTAGCAATATTTCAACTATTTCTGCCAAAGGAGGTAAAAAATTGGCATTTGGAAAAATACTGGTATTAGGTAAGAGAGTAAAATAGGGAGAAGCAAATAGCAAGTGAAGCAGATTATATACTCATTACTGTTGATACTTTTTAGCTGCTCCTAAGTAATTACAAGATGACAGAATTTAGAACCGTTTGTAATCATTACATTATACTAAGCCAAAATGCTTGAGTCATATGAAGTGTTCCAAAATAAAATCTCATTTGTGATAATAGATCCTGTAAACATTGCTCTAAATTAAAAGAAACTTCAACTAGGGATCAACAAATATATTTATGAACTAGCAACTGGGTAATTTTAATAACAAAATTATTAACAAGAATTAGGAAAAGGTTAACAGACTCTTCTTTTAAAGTCAACTGAAATCAATCTTTGAAAGATAAGGCATTATCTGAGTTTTTCAAATCCTAGATATCAGAAAATAATTATGGCAAGGAAGTACAAGGAAGCCCTGCATACTGGCCTTTTATACTGAGACCCAACCTTGGAAATAACTGCCTTCACAGCCAATATTATAAATCATATGTAGACACTACTCATTAATCCAGTCAACTCATCTGGGGGTGAAAGGCATTTTATTAATCTCTGGGTTTTAGTTCCTCTAACATGACGTGGGTATGTAACTGTGCTCAAAAGGTAGTGTGCAGTGTGAGCTACTCTATGTAAAGAATGTAGAAGTGTGTGGCACGTAGTGTTTAGTACAAAATAGCTACCATCATTACTATCAGTTTGAACTGGCACTTGAGAACACGTGGTCTGCATGTAAGTGAAAAAGAGTCAGAAAATAAACGGTCAGAGGTGGTTAGAAGAGTCAGGATTTGTTCATTCAATGGCGTGTCTGGAAAGGCAGCAAAGGAGAAGCTTGCTTTTGCAGTGTTTAGCAAGTTGATGTATTAATTGTGGTTTGGTGTCGAGTGAATATCACTTTATTTTGTAAAACAATGACTACTCTGCCCACTATGAAAACTTGAGTCATCACTCAGTTGGTTCCTTAATAGTAATAGAGAAATACATTCCAGACAATTTCAAGTGGTCCAGACAGTAAGAGTGGGTGGCTGGCTAAAGTTAAAGAGGAAAGGGATTGCCATGGGAATTAGCAAAATTTAGTGACTCATGAAAAAACTGGGACCTCAAAGTCTTTAGAATACAACTCCAACTAGGAGCAAAGAGCCTGCTGTGTCTGTTACTCCTGTGGCATAAATATGGCTTACATGGCTTTAATAGGGTTGTCTTTGTATCATGAGGACAGAACAGCAGGAAGCTGGTGGAATTTCTTGCACACTAATCTAGGTTTGGGGTTTCAGCTGAGTATATGACATCCTTTCATATGACTTAAGATTTTGGTTAAAGACCCCAGATTAAGTTAAATTACACATTAACTTGTAGATTTGGGGCAGTATAGTCAGAAATCATTTCTGTTCAGTGGAAAAGGTAAACAAAGTCAGGTATTGCTCTATAAAACACTAACCAGTTTTGCACGTAATCCAGCAACCTTACCTTCCTGTGAATGGGCCATACTTTCTTCGTGTGCCTCAACTTTTTGATGAAGACTGATCATTTTGAATATATGGCAGCTGGAAATCAGATTCTTCTCCCCGTCTGCAGGGTTCCTGTCGGTGCCCCTAGTGTGCTGTAGCTGCTGGAGTTTCCTGAACTGTGTTGTAAAGACTGTATTCTTTGCAGTGTGTGGCCCCTAAAGCCTGTGTTCCATTAGTTTAGGGATGGTTTAGTGTTTGGACGAATTCCCGTGGACACTGGGCATGCCCTCCCCTGCCAGCACACCTCTCTGGTCCTCCCAGATTGGCTCAGGTCAAGGTTTGGGCAGCCTTTTTACGACTGACTGCCGTAGCCCTTCCGTCCTGCTTGTGAGGAGCCCAAAGGTCAGACAGAGGTGAAGGCTCAGCATCTTCTCAGCTGTTTCCTGAGCGTGTGTCTAGCCCTGGGCAGGCACGTGGCCGCCTGCACCCCCAAGTCTGCATGGCAGCTTTTCAAAGCCTTTTCTCCCCCATGTATTATCTTCCTTCTAAGCTTTTCAGGGTCTGCTTCTTGCCCCTTCTGTTCTCCCCTGTGTCAGGCAGCTGTGGCTAGTATATGTCTTTAAATGCTTTTGACAGACCCCACTGAGGGGGGTACTTAAGCTCTGAGAAACTTCTGCGGTGAGTGAAACACAGTAAAGCCCCTCACGGAGCCACTGGACAGTCAAAACATGCCGAAAATTCTTTCAGCACGAGGTCCACATGGCCCCCCTGCTGCAGTTCACGGTCTCTGCTGTGCTGCTGGAAGGGGAACAGAGAGTTTTAGATGGGCACATTCAATAGTCTGACACTTACCGAAATTGAGCCGCTTCTTTCTTCATTAAATAATGCCGGGGTAGTTGTTCTTCATAGATTTTAGAGTTCTGAGAAAGTTGGTTCTGACAGGTATTTCCAGTTCCATGGAGGGCTGATTTTGAAATTCCCTACTTCACCGTCTTTGGCGACATCACCCATCCAGCAACCCTAACATTTCAGTCGGTCCTAACACGGTTCGGGCTCGTGGCTGGGGGGCCGAGGCCGCTGTCTGCCGCGGGCCCTCCCCTGGCCGCCTGCCCCGCCCTCGCTGCTGGTCCGCTCAGGACTCAAGGGCTGCTGGCCGTTCCTCCCTAATGACGGGGGAGTTTGGCTTATGGTCTTGAGATGTAATGTAATGAGCTCATCTCTGTTGGGTGAGATGGTTTTTAAAATCTTGACTCTTTGGTTGCCATTTTTCTCTTTTTAGCTCAAATGAGTAAAGAATATAGAGAACAGCTTTTTAAAATCCACAGTGGAGAGATTCTGTGTTTCACTTGCAGCTAAAGTTGCAGAATTGAAACTGTAAGATGTTTCTGTCTGCTAACTAAAAAAGACCTTTACTGTCCTGTTAAGTACAAAATGGTTCCCTAATCCCAGAGGGTATTAATAAATTGAACTATAACATCTTAAAGGACCTTAAAGGGGTTTTGATTGTAGAAATGTTTTTATAAACAGTATTTCCCAATTTACAGAAAATCAGGAAACTCACTTTCTAGTACTTTTAAGTAAGGGCTGTTACTCTGGCTGAATATGTGGTCAGTGTATGTGGGTGGCTGAGACCAAGGACAGAGTGAAGGAGGAATACAACCAAGTATCAAGATAACGGGATGAGTTTGTTTTTCAAGTACAAATAGTTCTGTCTTAAGTGTCTATTTGTTCAAAAATTTGAAAAACTTGAGTTTAAGTAGTAGAGTGTAAGACTCTGAAAAGAAACTATATAAAGTGTACTAAATATCTGGCAAAATTTCCCCAGCTTTGATGCAGCCTATTCACAAAAAAGGAGGGAGAGGGTAGAGCTTAGAGCTTGTGACTCATATTGCTAAGGACCTGTCAATTCCACACCAGAAATTTGTTTTTTTCTCTGTTAAATAATAAATTGTTGTTAAAGAACTACAAAGAAGATTGAGTTGCTGCCTTCATAATATGCTCAGGTAGATTTTCCTTATCAGAATAATTTGCTTTGCTTTGACTTTATAACATCCTTATTAAAACAGACTAAAACAAAAAACAAAGTTTCCCATTTGTGACAGATCTGTTTTCTTAAAATTGTTCTGCCTTCTGTATTTGTTTTTAAATATTTTATTTCATTTTTAGTAAGTGGGAAACCAGCAGAGTTTTTCTGACCCCACCCTA